GTCTTATTCTTGAAAGCAACCTTCAAAATACACACAGAACTATAAATTCATTCTGAGCCCTGGATATTGTCCAAAGACGTAATTTCTTTATAATGAACAGCTTAATACCAATAATGTATTAGGGGGAAATACAGTAACTGCAATACAGTTAACGGATTAAAAGCGGTTTTGATATAGTGATGGTCAACTCTTCCTGTTTCTACAAGGAGGAGTTATCTTTGCTTCTACAGATGCAAATGTGGATTTTCCTTTGTTGAGCATAACTTGCTTGAAACAAAAGCCATTGACTTCCTGTTAATTGTTCCTGGTAGACCAGAAGAAAGGTCTAAATTTGAATGTTTAATAACTACATTTAGATTTAATGGCTGGTTAAACATGTTACTCATGCTGATAGATTAAAACACAGCACCGGATAACTACAAAGAGGAAGAAATGGAGTTTTTGTCGTATCTGGTGATGAACGATGGAGGATTTGGAGCAATGCTTTATCATTAATTCTAATTTAAGAGAATACTTGTTCAGGAAATAATGATAATGTTGCCTCACTCTGCTCGATGTGAGAGATACGTAGTGACAATGAACAGCTGGGGGATCTTAGTTCTGCAGATCACATTCTGAGCCTTTACTGGGAACGTCAGCAGAAGCCAAACCTCACCAAGGTGATGGAAAACCTCTGGCTTAATGATGCTGCCTCGCCCGCTCGCCCTTCCATCGCCTCGGTGTTTTGCAGCAGAAGAAACAGCAGGATCAGACTGTGTAAATCCTGGCCTGGGAGCGTTATGGCAACCAGAAGATAAAATTGGAGTGGCCAAGCTGTTCTGGTGGTGCTGTAAATAACTAATGAGCACCAAGCCCTCGTGCTGTTGGAAGACCAGGCGCTTTCTGCAAGCCCATCTTTTCGGTCATGACTTTCCATCATCCCAAAGAAGAGAACCCTTTGGCTCGGTTATTTTAAAGAGGCGGTTCCAGTGATTAACGTGGAATTAAGGATCGTTGCTATGCGTTAAGCATCTCTTCCCAGACCTTCCCAAATCACATTTTTAGGCGGCTTGTGGGGAAATCGTGAAAGTTGAACGGATGTCGCCTTGTGAGAAAAAGGCAGGAGGAATACGCTCTGGAAGGGATATGGAGCAAAGTAGCAAAGCCCCAAAGGGAAGTTGACCGCACTGATAGGAATGCAGAAGGGAGGGAGGAGCCCCTTTTCCTCCCGCCGAGACTTTCCTCGCTGCTCCGAATATGTCGCGCATCCGGCTCGCACCTCCGCATGGAAGGCGTCTGCTGGAGGCGGCCCACCCCTTGCACGCTCCCTCCGGGAGAGACGTCCGGCCGACGGGCAGGAGCTGTGGGCAGAGAGGCTCCCATCCCTGCCAAGGCGCCTGCCGGCGTGCAGGGATGCTGGGCTGGGGACGGGCGAAGGAAATGGCCCATAAATCAAAGCGTGGCATTGGCACAGGAGGCGCACCGAAGGCAGGAAATGGCAAGGGGAAGGAACAGCGTGGGGGTTAGGAAGGCAGTGCGAAAAGGCCCAGGGTCAACAGGAAGACCTGGGAATTGGAGCCGAGAGGGACAGAGGAAGCAGGGGTGGGAATTTCAGCCGAGGGGCCCTGAGCCCTTATCTCCCGGAGCCACATGCGTGTAATGGTGGTGACCATGTGCATCGCCTGTCAGGTGGTCAGGGGTGAACAGGAACCGCAAACTTGACTCCTTTGTTAGGGTGTCCAGGGGTGGGTGGGTGTGTAGATGGCAGCCCCGATGCATATAAAAAAGGGGGGTGGATCCTGCAGTCTCAGCCACCCCCTTGATCTGTTGGACCTCTCCCTGCTGACACCCTTCAGTAGTGCCGTTTCTACAAGAAGCCAGGACACATCTTTGACACACGAGACGTAGGCAATGATAGCTTAGGATAGATCCTGGCCAAGAGCTCCAGGGTCTTTCCCCGCGGCTGTGTTGAATTGCTGTCTGCCCCTCTTGAAGGGGAAGAAAACTACAGCGGCATGAAATTGGCCATCCCGTTGCCGATTCCTCTTGGGCCTCCGTCCCTGAGGCCTGCAGATGCCAACTTCCCTGCCAGGTGCCCAAAGACAAAGCCAAACAGAGTTTACACACCTTGGACAGTGTCCATAGAACAGGGCTTCTCAACCTTGGCAACTTTAAGACGAGTGGACTTCAACTCCCAGAATTCTGGGA